AAAGATTTGTGAGACAAAAGAATGTGTTATTATTACAAGGAGGAGTTTTCTCTATCACACAGAAAGTGACAAGTGTAAGCTAGGTTACTTGCTTTACTGAAATGAAAACTGAAAGTTGCATTGTTACTTAATTACCTTCAAAGATAAATTTTATATGAAAGCTCCAAATTTCTTTATGGCACACAGAAGGATAAACTGGCCTATGTGAACATTGAGACTTCTGGTATTCACTATAAAAACGAAGTTAACTGTGTTAAGATGAAAATGTTTTGCAGAGCGCTGCCCAGTAGTAATGCCTAAGAAAAAAACAGTATTTAAGAAAATTGCAGAGGACAAGGAAGAAGATGATTATGGAGAGATGATTTACAGTCCTGTTTTACAACCCAACAAGAACACTGGAAGGAATGCCTGATGATCGGAATAACTGCATGAACAAACACACTGATAATCATACAACTTTACAGATAAATTAGCATGGCTTTCCTAGGGAATTAATATTTTTCAAAAGCTCAGATTATGGCAGATGGTAGTAGGATGTTCTCTTTTACAGATCTGTATTACCAAGTGTACAGTTAAAATACAACCTCCTTATTCTACACCCTTCATTTACACATAGGGAGTTGGATGGATTCCCCTTGCACATCCAGAGGCAGTGACACAGGGTCTTATTTTCCAGACCGTGTGTATCTGGGCTCTATGGTAGTATTCAAAATGAAACAAGTGCTTTCTAAGCTTCCTCATGTTCAGCTGCTCTCTACGACATTTGACTTCTGAGCATTGCTTCCTTGTTGTCTTACCATGCTCGTGTGGTTTTATACAGAGTTGCCCATTTGCACTGCAGCCTTCTTGTAGAACCTTTATAGGCTCATATGAATGGCTGCTGAGTCAGGAAGCTCTTTACGGAGGACACCCTTTGTGATACTGCTTCCTGCTACCTTCTGTGTACACTTGCAAATCTACAGCCAAGATGTGTAATTTTGTCTTCAGAAGCCTACATGCAGAGCCTTTACCAACTGTAAGGGTTCACTCCTTCCTGGAACTTTTAAGTATTAGCTTCTTAAAAACACATTTTCAAAACAATTATTTAAGAAGGCCATTGTAGATATTGCTGTGGCCATTATCATCCCTTTGCATGAAAGTGCTGGCAATCAGCTTCATCACAGAGTGTACCAGGACCAACCCCACTGGCACATGCAGGTACAACCACTTAACTACACAACGGCACCTACAATCTCAGTAATCCATTAAAAGCTCTCCCTCCCTGTGGTGCCAAGAACAGCCATCACTCTCAGGAGACCTGAGATGGGGAAGGGGTGTATGTGCTGTGAGCCCCAAGCCTCTGCATTGCCATCATCCTAGGCAGACCTGCTCCATGGCGCCCTGGGAGGCACCGTACCGTGTGGGTGGGTTAGTGCAGGCCAGTGTGCCAGTGCTTGCGATGGCCTCTTCTGCTTTCCTAGTACTTTTTTATGGCTGTCTTCATCATGTTCAGCTGGGTACTAACCAGGAATTGCAATGAAACTTTCTGTGTGAATCTGTGGACTTCATTTCTTAGTCAAAGCATTCTTTATTTTGTCAAGGTAGTGCAAAACCCATGCTGTATGAATGTAATACTTTTTCTGAATAGTCTTTACTAATCTTAAAAACAACTGAACTTCCTCGTCGCTGTTTTCTTTTATGGACACCATGCCATACCAAGATGTAATTTGGTTTTTTTTTTAATATCCATTTTTTTCACATAAATTTTTTACTGTAATGCTCAATAAATACTTAAGTGCCAGCATGAAGCGGATTATTGTTAACATGTTGCAGGAAAATTGCACAGTGCTAAAGCTTGCAATAAAAATAAGCAGAACGCCCACTGTTAATACACTGTAGTTAAGTGTATTAGCTGTTTTCAAAAGCATTAACTCCCACATAAATAGCAATGCTATTTTGTCCAATATATTATTATCAGACAGTGAAAATCAGTTGGGGACTATCTAAAGCCTTTATGCCCATATGTATTAAACCAAAATTGTTTCACAAAATTAGGAAACTGTGTAGGGATAGCACTTACAATTTTACTAGGTGTAAACAAATAATAATAATAATAATAAATTATGAAATTACAGGCTAGTCATACAAATGACTCTTCCTTGTTCCCCACTCGATATTCAAAATCATCGATCTTTTTTTCTCCACCTCTCACTTTTTTAAATTGTATTTTCTGTATCATTAGCTGGTGAGACTTCATAAATTTTAAGCTCTTGTACTTTTCCCTTAACCAGAGTGGGAAAACTAATATTGGATAAAAATGATACATAAGAAGAAGCAATTGTTAATGATCCTAATGCGGCAGTAGAAGCTCTTCACGAATTTACTGATTATCCTTTTGTTTCCACTTCCTGTTCATCTGCCTCAGCAGCGACATCATGAAAATAATAATAATAATCTGGACCCAGATTCTCAAAGTGGTTTGCAAATATTAATTAATTGCAAACCTAATTAAGCCTCTGAGACAGATTTTATGCTCCTATTGTGCTTTGGAGACCTATGTGCATCTCTTCTTAAAGTGTATTTCTTCTCCTTATGGGGCTGTTCAGAGCCCTCTGAAATTAAGAGGGGAAGGGGGAAGAATATTAAGGGGCAGGAGACAGGGAAGGGGGAAGTGAGGGAGGGAAAAGGGAAAGGAGAGAAAGAGAACAAACCCCTCTTATGTAATATGCTGGGCTCTAACTACCCGACACAGGAAAAAACACAGAAGAATCACAGAATGGTCAGGGGTGGAAGGGACCTCTGAAGATCCAGTCCAACCCCCCTGCTAGAGCAGGACCACCTGGAGAAGATCACACATAGGAACACTATGCTGTGTTTTCATAGCATTTTCTGTTAGCAGTAGTATTAAAGATGACTATGTTTTGTCCTGAGGTACTGCTATGTGACAAAAAGTAAAAACAGGACTAAAATGGTAAAAACTGTCAAACTGTATCTTAATTTTACACATTCTCAGAAGACAACCGTCACCTGGAACCCAGCAAGCTCTGCTTCACATGTGGCTGTGGTTTTGGGCTTGGACTGAGCTGCAGGGGTGCGCTGCCACGCGTTTGGGCATGCTGTCACACTGTAGGTGTAAGTCCTGCCACATTCCCTTTCTGGTGTCAAACTGTCACAAGCCCAAATAACAATTTTTCAACAACAACAGAAAAACTCTTGAAAATCTATCTTCTAGGGAAGCTACTAAGGATTTTCCTTTCTTTTTGGGAAATATACTTTACTGAAAAGCCAGGATGTGTGTCCCTTGGAATAATTATTATAGGAAATGCTTTCTTTTCCACCTCTTTTTGCTATGGTGCTCTTCTTTTTCAGAAATCCCTCATTACCCAAATATAAAGAGAATACTGCTGGTTACCTTTTTTCTCACTTAAACATCATAGATAGTCAGGTAATTCTGCTATGCAAGCACTGTTCTTCTGACTTTAAAAATTAGATAAGAATTATTTCAGTCCTAAAAAAGCAGCCATTTAAGTCTCATCCCATCACAGTAAGAGCAAGTAGAACAGACCAATTTGAGCCAACAAAAAATTTAGTTTTAAATCCCTGATTGTCAACAAAATATCTGTTCATCCTAATGGAAATTCACATGATTCTGTAACACAGGTGATTTGCCAAAGGGAAGAAACTACGCAGTCCTTCAGACATCCTACCAAAATAAAATATTCCTCTTGTAAACAGCACACAGGCTCATGAAGAGCAATGCAAGAACTGCAGCTCCAGTGATGTTTAGGACACTGCAGAAGTCCTAAAACTGGGAGGACAAGTTTAAAACATTTCCTTTAAGACTGTAATAATCAAAAGTGTTTGAAATGACCAATTCTGACTAGCAGAATCTGAAAATTTGAATACTCAGTGAAAATATCAATCTTATTTTTAAAATTAATTTCATTTTTTTTCTTTTTTCTTCAGCTAATAGACTTAAGTTGGACTGAGTGATGGTGAAAAGGAATTATAAATAATCTATCAATTTATTCTACCAAATGCATACTCTATAATGAGTACTGACATAAAATGAAAGCAATTTCCCTGATATTTTGGTCAAATTAAGTAATTTGGTTTACTCATTTTGTTTCTGAGAAGAGCAGTTGAACAGATGACAGTGGTTCTGATCCTCCCAGCATTTCTGTATTTTGGAATACAAAACTATGGATAATGTTTTAGAGGTGAATTTCATATGAGATGAAATAGCTGAATGCATTGAAGGATTTAATAAAATGATAAAAAGATAAAACAAAACAACTTGCAGCTTTATCAACCAATCATTTCATAAATCTTTAAACACATTTTTTATAAAAACAACCTACAGGCTTATAAATGAGAACATAATTCTTTAAGAAAATGAAAACCTGAGATTTGAAGCTGTGTGAAAGTCTTGCAGGAAGGGAGTTGTAATATGCTGGCAATGCTCTCTGGAGCAGCAGATGGCAGGAGTAACTCTGTTTCTTACCTTTATTCACCATATGCCATTTGACTGATTAAACTGTATTTATGTAGAAAAAATCATATAAAACAATACACATAACTACAGCTCTTCAGTGCACATCATCCCACTAATTTTTCTGTGTTCTGGTAATCCATCTGCATACCTCATGCATTTCTGTGCAGGCTTTCCTCTTCTCCCTGTGTGAACTGCATATAACCCATACTCCAGACTGCTAAAGCTGTGATCTTCCTAATTGGCTGAGTAAACACAGCTGATTCTAGAAGAGGAGGGGAGACCTGTAGAAAGGATCAAGGTACTTCAGAAGGTCTTGGTAATCCAACAGGTGGCAACTTTCTTTCTCAGCACAAATCTGTACTGCCAGATGATGTGGGAAGAATAGCACATCTTTCATTTCAGAATGAGTTTCTTCTATTTTGACTGATTTGATCACTGCAGGCAGCAGCCAGGTGAGCATCAGATCAGCTCTCGACGCACCTTACACATCCTTACTCAAGGGCTTTTCCCTTTCTCCTCCAAATACCCAACACCTTCATTCCTTGTCCCCTTCTCTTCCGAATACCAGCCATTTCTCTCCCATTTCTTCCAGCAATGCTCCCGCTCACTTCCACAGCTAATGTGGCACCATCTGTCCATGGCGCGCTCCGTGCTGCTTGCCCCGCTGCAAGGCATGGCGGTGCTCCACACCTCCTGCCCCAGCCACCCACAGTGCCACAGGAGTGAAGAGAGAAGTTGACATGTGTCACTGCATTGGGTCAGAACCGTGGGTGGTGTGCTCTAATCCGCCTTCATCAACATGCAATCATGTATTCCACTCTGCCGAGCCTCGCAGGTGGTCCAGTGCATCCCTGTGGCTGTGGCTTTCAGACTCCGTCCTGGCATGTGGGCTAGGCACTGTGGCAGGGTCCTGTGGAGTTCTCCTTGGGTAGGTGTTTTGTTTGTAAAAACGGTAATACTCAATAAAGAAACTGAATGGCTTGTAGATTCAAGGCGAAGTTTAATTTGCTTCACCTGATGTGATTTTTCTCATTTCCCTGAGCAAGGTGAGGCTCATTCCCACCTTGCTGATGAATGCTCCACTGATGCCAGGTATAGCCTGGAGACAACTGAGCCGGATGGAAGGGGCTTGGTAGGTATGAGTGAATAGGGGAAGATTAAGAAAAAACACAGAGACCACCAGGACTAATGCAGGGGGAAAACAGGGGGCTGTAAGAAGAGTGGGAGAAAGACATCAGATATCCACCCAACCAATTCTGTTTAAACCAGGCAAAACTTTATTCTCAAATAAGTGAGCTAAGATTTGTCTGCAAAACTGACAGAATCAGCAAGCTGGGAATGACTGGTTCCAGTGATTGCACTGACCGAGAGCTCCTCGGTTTGACTTCAGCAGGGATTTACCATCTGCTGCAGCTGACAATTGTAGCCCATTGTTAAAAACGGCTTCTAATAGCTTCAAGCCATTATTCTTTGTCTTGATATCTTCAGACTGGGAATAATTCCCTCCTTCATCTACGCAGTTACTCTGAAAGTATTTATACATTATAATTGGGTCCCTTCCTTCCATCCTACTGAGCTTTCTCTAGGCTGTAGGACTGTCTTATAAATTATTCTATCCTATCCTTCAATCACATTGTTATTTTTTAAAAAAATAAAGCTTCAGATATGAAGCATGTAATACTTCTGATGCTGCAGGATCCAATAATGTGAAATACACATTTATAAACTGCACAAAATAGAGTCTCAAAAGACAAAGTGAAATAAAATAGCTCTCCACATTCAAAAGATTATCTGGATGGGTTCCATGAATATTCATAATACAGGTTGAAATTTCTGTTAGTTAAAGCTATTAAAATACACAAAGGAAAAAATAACAAAGATTTCAATAACATTCAGCAATCAACTCAGTGAAGCTTCTGCTAGTTATTAAATCTGTTGTGGGCTTTTTGTAAAATATTCCAAATCACTTAAACATACAGCTGAAATGGTGAACCAGAATGTCTTGCCAAAATGTCTTAAAGGATACAGATAATTTGAATCACACACACGCACATCTTGTTTTTTTAATTTCAGTATGTTATTAATTCTTCTCTCTCCATGACTATAACTAATAAAACAGATTCTTATTTTAGCTAGCTCTGGATTAGATATGGAGTATTCTGATTGAAAATCACAATTTTAAATGATGGCCTAAAGTATCCTGATTAAAGAAAAAGAAGTATTACCATTTTGTGGGGTTTTTTAGGTATTTGGACTCAAATAGAACTTTGATACCATATATGAGGCAAATACAAATTTGAAAGAGGCGTACTAATCTGAAACAGGTATTTAAAAACTGGATTAAAATTTCCCGGGTACAAAGAAACTAATACAAACTAGCAAAGCTAATTAAACTGTCCCTGTGAAAAGTTCCTTATTTAACACTGCCTATTTTCAGGCTATTCATGAACTATTTTTAACAGCCCCAAAGATGGTTTCATGTTACCAAGATTTTTTCACCCTCCCCTTTCCAGCAAATGAAATTAGATTCCTTTCCAAGCTGACCATCTACCAGTTTATTTGGTGACAGATTATTATTAACTGTCTTCAAAAGAAGACGACTCTTTTATTTGCACACATCTGGTAATGATATTCCTGGGTCTAGACAAGTGAAATAGGAGTTAGACAAGATATGTTAGCGAACTTAGTACTGTATTTCCAAAAGAATAATAATGTAAAACTTGAGAAAAGCGATTTAGTACAGTATAATGAAAAAAAAAATATTACTCAGATGTTTTATTAAAGCCTTTGGAAACTGAAATAGGGATTCTCGCCCTCTATAGTGACTCAGTAAAATAAAATAATTCATATCAAATTAAACATTAAACTGAAACAACAAACCCACTCTAGTCAAGAGAAGGAATAAATAATGACAAACCTGTTACGGAAAAAACCTCATTGTCTTTTATTCATGGATCTAACAAATACAACATCCTGCATTCAGATTTGATTCCCTGTCTCCACATTATAAGGCATGCGATTATTTCAGTAAGATTTACCCTGGACAAATCACAGACAGATTCCCAATCCACTTTAACTATTAACTCCATGGATTACATGTGTTATGTGAAAAAAAATTACAAACAAAACCGAGCCGTCCTGAACATAAATATAGTACTTTTTTTAAAAGTCCCAGATAGTTCTATCAAGTGAGACAACAGTTTATCCAAGCGTAGGTCAGTTTTGGACATAAACGTCTTTATCCCATACAGTGAAAAAAAATAGTGTGGTAGTATTATTATATATTGTTCTCCTTACTAAGAATTATCAACAGCCTGTTTTTATAACTCTTGTAGAACTATAATGATCATAGAACTGCTTGACAAAGAACTTGTTCTTAGCTATCACAGTTTGGAATCTGTAATTATCTATTAGTTTTTGATGACTTGTACAAGATTTAATTCAGCCCTGGCTCCAGTGACAGCTCGAACTGTGCAGAGACTCATCAGACCTAAGTCTGTTCCCACCAACTCCTAGTAGGTCACCTGCATAAAGCCCAATTCTTAGGATTTGCCAAGGCAACAAGGATTTTATCATAATATTTAGAATTAAACCGATTATCTTCAGAAATCTCCCCAAATCCTTCCAGCTAGTTACATGAGACAATTGTCACAGCATCTTTCCTCCATGGAGGGCTACGATACCTTTTTTCTGGTTTTTTTTTCACAGTTTAGAAAAACCTACAGTGCTTTAGTTCATTTAATTTGCTCCTGTAGTTTTTAAATGAAACACTGCCTTGGGAACTTCTGTTAACGGTAACACAAGGTTACAAAACTGAGTCCAGACAGTAGAATCCAGATTAAGACTCTTACTGTAAATATCAGATCCCAGATTACCACCATCACACATATATGTATCTCATTGAAACAAATTACTACCTTTTTATATCACCTCCATTTTTCCTGGAGAACGGATGATACTCAGTGTAATCAATCTAAATTTGTTATTTACACAAATCCTCTGAGAACAACGAAAACCCTGTGATATAAAGTATCACAGCAATGGTATTATTTGTGCGTCCTGAACTCAGTTACAACAACCAGGCAAGTCCGGAGAATATTCCCGATGAGTCTATATCACATCAGAGACAGAGCTCTAGCTTGTGTTAGGTTACTGAAGCATATGTCTGCAGACACTGAATGAGGCCAGGACATGGGAATGGGAAGAGGGAGGAAGGTGAAGGTAAACCCAATGAAGACAGCTATTACTCCAAATGAGTCTGGCTAGGAACTTCTGAAACTTGTCTGTAATACAAACCTTCTCTAACCAAACATACCTCAGTGAGGAAAGTCTGCATCCTACATCAGTGGAAACCAGCCTGTGTCCTCATCTACTGAGATGCATAACACCCATGTGGACATTACTGCAGCTTTTGGAAAATGCACAAAGTCTAAGTACATTTATGTACTTTTAATCATTTTTCCATGCATGTCAGTAAATATCAAAGCCAGCTGCTCCTAAGTAGTGAAGTCCATTTGGAACACTGCAAGCATTTCACCAGCAACAGTCTGGGGGCCTGTTTTGAATTTGGTTACATTTTCTGGAGTTCATCATGATGATATTTTTAATAGTCCTGTAATATTCCATAAACCAAAGTACAAAACTGGAAATCAGATGATCTCAAAGCCAGTGCCTAAAAGTGATGTACCATCAGAAAGAATTGGGAGAGTGGGGCAGAATTAGTTGCTTACTATTTTCTAACAACGGGGCATTACATCCATGAATATGAATGGTTATATTCTGTTTGGATCATATGAGGCTCAAACGTATCTGGATTCAGCAATCAGCAAACAAAACTGCTGACCTAAAGAGCAAAGATAGCCATTTATTTATCTGTGAAATAGAAATTTCAGTAGTAAGCCTCTAGACTCTTGCAGCTGAAAAGTATGTGAAATTAAATTAACATTCCTAAACCTAAATCACTGATTTATAACAAATTTTATACGTTTTATATAACTTCTATATGAGATTTTAATATAAGTTTTTATGTATTGATCTACTGTTTTTTGTGATTATATTAATATAGAATTGTAATTCATTACAGGAAACAAGATAATTAAAAACTGTACCTGGAAAGTGCTTTATTTACATCTTATTTCATTTCTCAGTCTATTTGTTAAGGATTTTTTCTAGCTTATATTCTTTCTTTCTCCCCAGAGTATTTTGAAATGGCCCAGAAATAAACAAACAAACAAAAGAAAACCACATGCCCAGAAAGAAACACACTTTTAAAATTTCTGACTGTAGCTAAATTCCAGGGAATTTCAGGAACTCCACAAACAGTACCTGGTAAGAGGCCCGTCAAGTTTGGCCGAAGACTGCTCTTTGCCATCATCCACTTGATCTATATCTCTTCCTTTTATCATTTCTTGTCTGAATAAACAAGCTTTTCAGGAATGAAAGGTTTTTTGCACAAAATAAAATTGTACTCAAGACTGCAGTTATACAGTGGCACTGTCTTGAATGATTCAGCTTTAGGTTCTTTCTGCAATTAGTTTACCATTAAAAAATCCACTTCTTGTTGCATGAAGACGTTTTTCATGTAGTATATGGATATCAGTCTAAATGAGATATTCTGCTGTCTGACAATCGTCTGTTCTTAAAGGATTAAAATATTTATTTGTACTTTCTATGAT